TGTCAGGCCGCCTCCGGGCCGGCTCCCGGCCGGGAGACTCCTCGCGGGGTGTGAAAGCTGCGTTCGTGGGCATTGTTCTGAGCTCAGAAAAAACTAGAAGCCTCTTGAATAATTCTGCTGCCTGCTTTGTACGTGCCCCTATTTACTTGAATATATTTTCAGTAAGGTTTTGGGAGTAGGATGAAGACAACCGTAGGAGATGAAAAAACACAAAAATAACCTCTCCTTGGTAGCTGTAAGATGAAAACTAGTTCTGGAAAAATCAGTGTTCAAATACCTTCTTTGGCCTCCACAAATGTGTACTGCTGGCTCCAAAAATTATCCTCCTAGGTATGTGTTGTCAAAGAAGTTAGATAATTGGGTTACTAACGGTCTTTAGGAAAACTTCTGGGCCTCAGTAGCAATCACCAGGGCTTACTCTTTCAAACTGAGTCATCCTGGGTACGAAGCTCTTTCTTCTTTTCACCTTGCTGTTTTGGCTTTATTGTGCTTAGTAATACTTAGTATAAAAATTTACAGTCATTATAAAGGCCCCATAAACGCACCTTTTATTCCTCTTACATCAGTAGTCATTTATTTTAATTGGTTCTATTTGGGTGGGTGTGGAGGGGTGTTTTAATCCCAAGAAGTTATATTTTCTCTTTTTTAAAAATTTAATAGCCGCGTTGATTATTTAACCACTGTCAGAATTTGTGCTGGTCTCCCCCCGCCCCCCCCTTTTTCTTCTTTTTAAACTGTAATATTTTCTTAATAACTTTGAAGAATCTATGGTACTGTGGCATAGAATCAGAAGAGCTTCACATTTAATGCAGTTAATAATTTACTATTCCCTTTGTTATTTGCTAAATTATTTAAGGAATGACTCTCAACTCCTTTCTTTGAGCTGTTGCTTTTTAATTATGCTAAGAAACAGTGAGACAGTCATCATTACTAGAATAATTTGCATAAAAATTTGTTTTAATTCTAAGAATTAACATATTGTTAAGTGTTTTTAAATTATAATACAGTATTAATAGTTTTCATACAGGCGTAAAGTTCACTAATGGGCCTAAAACTAAGGTTGAACAGTAGCAGTGCAGTTTTGAAACTCGTTATTTGCTTGATGTACTCTCAAGTTACTGTTGACATATATACATAAATATTCATTTTAACTTTTACAGTCATCATTGCTAGGTAGTCTGAGAAATTTCAGTATTCTAGATCTTTGGAGGTGGTCAACAAGACATTATTATATAAAATTGTAGGGTGGTTTTTTTTCCCCTGTGTTTAATCTTTCATTGAGTGACTTAAATGATCAGTCAAAAGTCTAACACAAACAATGAGTTTTGGTTTATTTGTATTGTTTCACATTTTTGTATTTGTTTTTGCTCTAGTTCTTACCTTTGGATTCAAGTTTTTTGTTTGTTTTTGTTTGTTTGTTTAGCTTCCTGGGAATTACTGATTGTCTTTGAAGAAACATGAAGTCACATTCTGTTATTACGCTTACTCTAGCCATCTTGATGTTCCTGACGTGGATCCCTGTGTCACTGAGCTGTAACAAAGCACTCTGTGCTAGTGATGTGAGCAAATGCCTTATTCAGGTAGGACTAAAGGGTACTTATTCTTAATATTAAAATATATTGTAGAGCAGATATAGACACATATATACAGACATAGAGTGTATGTATAATACAGTGTATTAGATGAGGGCCTGAGGTACTCAGTCGTGGCACAGTGCTCTGGGCTTTTGCCCCTGTACTTCTCTTGCATACAAGCAGGGTCAGATTCAAGAAGTTCAGTACTGAAAATAATATCCAGCTTTCTAAACATACCGTTACAAGGTGATGAGCACTCTGTTCAGATGAACTAAAGGGTTTCTCTTGTATAACCTAGTTTACATAGCAAAGAGACCAAATAACTATATTTAGAAAAAAAAATTAGTCAAATAATAGACAAATTGTACACTAAATGTAATGTATTAGTTGTCTGTTCTAAGAAGTTACCTCCAAATGTAGCAACTTAATTCAGTAAACATTTATTATTTCATGCAGTTTCTTAGGGTTAGGAATCTGGGAGCATTTGATATGGGTGGTTTTGGCTCAGGGTTCCTCACAGGGTTGTAGGCAAGTTGTCATCTGGGATTGGGAAATTGGCTTCTGAGATAGTTGATAATTATCTTTTTCAGTCATCAAGGCAAGCCTAGTGATGTAGCTACCACTGTCATTTTCTGAAGAGAAAAGTGAGGTTAAGTAATTTGGCTAGATTCATATAGCTATTAAGTTGCTGCAGAATGTGGTCTGTGTTTTGGACTCCAAGGCCTGTGGCCTTTCCACTAATCATACTCTTCATAAAGTGGTGAACTTCATTTCTTACATAACTGTTCTCTCTTTTCCATCCTGTTAGATCAGCAGCAGTCTCATGCCCTTTGTGTGTCTGTATTTTATTAGCCTCCCTTCTAGTTATTGGCTGTTGGCTAAGAAATTCATTAACCACACATACTAGAATTCTATGTATGAGTCAGCTACTTCTTGGCTATAATCCTGACATAAGAGCAATTGTGTGTATGCACTAGAAGTATTAATGATTTTTATAGATCAGAGGCATTTTGTGCTTAATTCTGACATTTTGGTTCTTCTCATTAATAGTTGAAATCCTAGGTAGCATGGCCTTTACGTGAGTGTAGTTTGTCACCACCTTAGCTCTGTTTATTCTTACTTTGCATTTCAAACCAAAACATTTAACTAGAAATGTTTGTTAGTTGAGTGATTGGTTTTTAATTTTTTTAGTATGAACATTTTCAAGCACAAAAGGAGATGAGGGTATGAATAGCAGTTATGATTAGCAGTTACAGCAATCATTAGCTCATGCTTAGTTACCCTTGTTTTATCTCTATTCTCCTACTCTGACCACCCCAGCTGTTTTAATTTCAAGCAAACCCCTGATACTATTTTACCATAATTCTAAAACCTGTCTTTTAAAGATAAGAACTCTTCAACACATAGCTATGAGCAATTTTAAAATTACCAGTAATTCTTTAATATCACCTAATTTTATACATGGACGTTTCGATATGGCATGTCTACTTAGGCTTGTCCTCACTGAAAATTTTGTAGTCTGTACATTAATTCCAGCTTTGTGCTGTGGGGAATCTGTGCTCACTTCCCAGGTTGTTGCAGTGTAGCTTCATTACTCATTAATAGAAATAAAGTCTCATAGCAATTGCTATATTCATGTTTAGGTGGAAATTCACTTAAATTCCAAATTATTTTTTGACTCTCCAAGTCTATACTTTCTATTAGTTCAAATAATGAAAAATTAGATTTTATTTACAATACCTTGCTTGTAAGAGAGTATTTAAATAAGAAAGCTTTTGGTTAATATTGATAATACTTTCAAAGGCATTCCATATTGCTGGTAAGAAGTCTGATGACAATCTGTTGTTTAGTCTCTGTAGGTATCTTTGTTAATTTCTTTCTTCTCTCTGGAAACGTTTAGTTTTATCTCCTTATTCTTGGTGTGGGTCTTTTTTTATGGACATTGTGTTGGCCACCTGTGAATCTTTTCTGAGAGGAGGGGTTTATTTTGAGTTGAAAACTAGAACATTCCCTTTTATATTATTTTTATATATAATATCCTCCTTATTGAAACTCTGATTAGTATGAGTCTATGATGTTCTGTGTCTTAGTTTTTTTAAACAGCTTTATTGAGATATAATTCTAATACTATACATTTCACCGGCTTAAGTGTACAATTTAAAGGTTTTTAGTATTCACAGAGTTATGCAACCATCACCACAATGTAATTTTAGAACATTTCCATCACCCTAAAGAGAAACCTCATACCCATTAGTAGTCACTCCCCATTTTTTCCTCCCCACCCCTAGGCAACCACTAATCTACTCTGTATGTCTTTATATGCCTGTTTTGCACATTTAATATGAATGGAATCATATAATATGTTATTTTTTATGTCTAGCTCATGTTATTGAACATAATGTTTTCAAGGTTCATGCATGTTATCGTAGGTATCACCACTTCATTCTTTTATGATCAGATAATTTTTCATTGTTATGGATATACCTCATTTAATTTATCCATTTATCAGTCCATGGGTATTTGGATTGTTTTTATTTTTTGGCTACAGTGAATTATGCTGCTGTGAATATTCATGTATATTTTTATGTGGATATATGTTTTTATTTCTTTTGAGTATATACCTAGGAATGGAATTGATAAGTCATATTTCTGTGTTTAACATTTTGAAGAACTGCTAAAGTATTTTCCGAAGTTACTGCATACATTCTCACCACCAGTCTGTAGGGATTACAGTTTCTCTCCGTTCTCACCAGCACTTGTTATTATCTGTCTTTTCATTTTGTTGATGGTATGATTTGCAACACAAAAGTTGAAAATTTTGATTAAGCCTAATTTAGAAATTTTTTTGTCACTTACGCATTTAGTGTTGTTGCTAAGAAACCATTGCCTAACTCAAGGTCACAAAGATCTATTTGTATATTTTCTTGTAAGAATTTTATACTTTTAGCACTTATATTTATTTTGATTTTATTTTTGTGTATGGTGTGAGGTAGGGTTCCAACTTCATTCTTTTGCATGTAGATATCCAGTTGTCCCAGCACCATTTGTTAAACAGACTATCTTCCCCCCTCCCCCCCACTGAATTATCATAGCACCCTTGTTGAAAATAATTTGATCTTTAATGTTGGAGCATGTTTCTGGATTTTCAGTTTTATTCCATTGATCTATATGTCTATCTTTATACCTGTACCACATTGTCTTGATTATTGCAGCTTTGTGGTATGATTTGAAATCAGGAAGTATGAGTTTCTCTGTTTTGTTTTATTTTCAAGATTATTTTGACTATTTTGGTTCCCTTGCATTACCATATGAATTTTAGGATCATCTTGTCAATTTCTCCAATTAAAACCAGCTAAGATTTTTTTTAATGATAGATTTTACTTTTTGGAGTAGTTTTTATTTAAGTTGACAGAAAAATTGAGCAGAAGGTACAGAAAGACCCCATGTACCTCTTCCCTTATACTCACTGTTTCTTCTATTATTAACATCTTGCCTTAGTTGATACTTTTGTTATAATTGATGAACCAATATTGACACACTATTATTAACTGACGCCCACAATTTACCTTAGGGTTCAGTGTCTTGTATAGTTCTATGGATTTTGACAAATGCATAATGTCATATATCTGCCATTATAGTGTGATACAGAATAGTTTCATTGCCCTAAAAATCCCCTGTGCTTCCATTTGGCCCTTCTTCCTCCCTCGCATCACCCCCCGGGCCAAGCCCCTTACAACCACTAATTTTTTTTACTGTTTCTATAGTTTTGCTGTTTTCAGTATGTTATGTAATTGGAATTATGCAGTATGTAGCGGTTCCAGGCTGGCTTCTTTCACTTAGCAATATGCATTTAGTTACTCTATATCTTTTTTTTTGGCATGATAGCTTATTTTGTTTTATTGCTGATTTACAGTCCATTTTTTGGATGTACCACAATTTGTTTATCTGTTCACCTATGTTGAACAGAGACATCCCTGTTGCTTCCAGGTTTTGGCAATTAAAAATAAACCTGCTATAATAGCTAAGATCTGGGAAAAACCCAAGTGCCCATCAGTAGATGAGTGGGTAAAAAAGATGTGGTACATTTACACACTGGAATACTATGTACCTATAAAAAATGAGCTCTTACCCTGGAGATTATCATGCTAAGAAAAATAAGCCATTAAGAGGAAAACAAATATACATGTGCTCACTTATTTGTGGAATCTAATGAACAAAATAAACTGACAAACAGGATAGGTCCAGAGACATGGATTTATGGAACAGAATGACAGATCTCAGAGGGAATGGGAAGAGATTAGCCAGAGAACATATATGCATATATGCATAACCATGGACACAGACAGTAGTGTGGGAAGGCTTGGGGTGGGGTG